AAAAAAAAAAACAATGCTGTTGTATTTTTGTACAAATAACATAACGAAAACACGCATGCTTTTCTCTGTGGTGCACTTAGGAGAGGGACTGCGTGGTCCCTGGACAAGTGTATCTCCAACTTCATTAGAAACCGCCAAACTTCCAAAGTGACTGTACGAAACTTACATTACTACTAGCAGGGTATGAAAGCTGTGTAGACCCACATGCTCATGACACTTGGTGTCTCTGCATTTTAACAATGGTATGGTTGGATTACCAATCTGCTTGGTGTAGCAGTATTTAATTGTGCTTTGTGTTTCACCTCCCGAATGAGGTTAAGTAATGAGTATAGTTTTGTATATTACTGAACCTGTTTTGTGAAATGCCTATTCAAATCTTCTTACTGAGTTGTCTGTCATTGTAAGAGCTCTTTTCAGAGGCGGGAGTGGAGGCATGTGCTTGTAGTCCCACCTACTGGAGAGCCTGACAAGGCAGATAGCATGAGCCCAAGAATGTGCTGTGAGCTATGATGATGTCGCTTCACTCTACTCTGGGAGACAAAAAAAAAAAAAAAACAACCCAAACCTATTTGATACCAAGGGAGAAAGTTCTCTTAACCTTGCTCACTGGCTTCCTGAACATTCCGGCTATTTTGGCCTTGTGCATTTCTATATACATTTTATTAACAGCTTCTTGCACACAACTGGTAATAGTTGTTCCATCTTCCCCTTTCTATTAGACTGGAAATTACACAGTATTTTCCCATTTGTTTTTACTGGTAACCTTAGAAATCAGAAATAGACTTAGCAAAGTCTAAAGTGACAATCTTTTCTTTCTCCTGAATACACAGACCTTGAAGCCTTAACTGCATTGCCCACCGAGTCCTGCCCTGCAGTGTGCAGACTCTCTGGTATGTTCCTTCCTTGTTCTGACCCCTCTGTATTTACCTCTTCCTTCAGTCTTCATTCGTTCTTGTGTATGAAACCTCCCATCTGTGCTCGCTTTACTTCTGCCCTAAACCCATCCTTAAGAATTTTCTTAAGATTACTGATGATAAATTCTTTTTTTCTATTTTTGTTTCAAAATATTTATTTTACATTCATTCATTTTTTTTTTTTTTTCTGAAACAGTCTCACTTTGTCGCCCTTAGTAGAATGCCAAGGCATCACAGCTCACAGCAACCTCAAACTCTTGGGTTTAAGCAATTCTCTTGACTCAGCCTCCCAAGTAGCTGGGCTATAGGTGCCGGCCACAAGGCCTGGCTATTTTTTTTTTTGCTGTATGTGGCCGACGCCCAACGCCCTATCCCCTAGCTACAGGTGCCTCCCTATTTTACATTCATTCTTGAAAGACACTTTTCACTGTGCAGAAATCTACACTAGCAGTTTTTTCTTTCAGCACACTGAGGGCATCACCCAAGTGGTTTCTGTTGTTGTTTATTAAAAGGGCATTCTTTTAAAGGGAATCTGTCTTTTTAACATTTCTCTGAATTTTCTCTACAATGTATCAAGTCTTGTGATTTTTTATTATGCCTGTCTGGGATTTGCTGAACTCCAGTTGACTGGTGTCTTTAAACAAATCTAGAAAATTCTCAGCCATTCTCTCTTCTCCTAACTTTAGAACTTTCATCAAACCTACGCCCGTATCTTCTGCACCCTTCTCTTTTTGTTTGAAACAGTCTCACCATCATTGATTTCAGTCCTCTGAAAATCTACTACCTCTCTGGATCAGGCTTTTCCCCCAAATTTAGCCTAGAAATTTCCTTGACCATTTTTTCCCCAGCTTTTCAAATACTTTCAAGGTGATTTTTTTTTTTAATCCAGAATTTGTTGTTTATAGTGGAACCATGGATCCAAATTAGCTTGTTCTCTTCAGGTAATAAACCGCCAATTTCTTTACCAGATGTATATAAACTGTATTACATCAAATGAACAAATCTAAGCCTCTGAAATCTTCAGTCTCTTAATAGCAAATAAGCTTTTGGTTTTAACACTCTATTTCTTAAAGTTTTTTCACAGATGGGGTTTCACTCAGTTCTCAGGCTAGAGTACAGAAGTGTGATTATAGCTCACTGTAGCCTCATACTCCTAGGCTCAAGAAATCCTTCTGCCACAGCCTCCCGAACAGCTGGGTCTACAGTTGCATGCCCTGTTAAATGTTTTCATCATTTGAGACAGGGTTTTGCTACAGTGCCCAGGCTGCTCTTGAACTCCCGGGCTCAAGCTATAGCCCAAACTTAGCCTTCTAAATTGCTGGGATTTTAGGTGCCAGCCACCAAACTCCACCAGTTACATAAAACTTAAAATGCACGTGGTTTCTTATACCCTCAATGAATCCCCAACAATAAAAAAAAAAAAAAAGCTAAAATGCACTAATTTTAGTAGAAGTAAAACATATACATGTAAACATTTAACAAACAT